GTGAGTGGTGTGGCGTGATGATAAGTTGTTTGAGTCGTCCTGTGCAAATTGCAAATTATGATGAGCACCACACCGACCCGCACATGACACACACCCATACACACACTCACGCACACACACGCACACACACACACACACACACACACACACACACACACACACACACACACACATACGCACTTGCTGCCGACGCTGGCGTCTGTATGCCTTCATGTAATCGCGGCGATCACGCACGCGTGGCGTCTTGGGTTTGTCCTGGCCAGCCTGCCGTCGTGACTGCAAGCAACCACAACGTCAATCACATGCGTGAGAGTTTGTTGAGAAGGAGAAACAATTCTTGCTTCGAAGCACACGCGCGTTCAAGCTCACACAGATACACACACTCACACAAGCACTTGCACGCACTCACACATTTGCACACATTGCTCACCCTCTTTGTCGCCGCCTTTGTTGGTTTCTTCACAGATGTTGCGCCCTGAAATGCATGGACACAGTGCCAGTGAACGGGGTGCCAGTGCGAGCAAATGCGACTGCTCATGTGCAAGTGTATGTGTGTTCATGTGCGCCTAAACACAGAGCGCGGTTGTGACGTGCGCACCTTGTTTGGAAGCTTGTCTGCAGTACCCGCCTGCACGGGTGACCGCTGTGATTCTGCACCACGAGGAGTGGAAATGGTGGACACATGGTCGTCAGCAACAATAATCTACATGGGACAGAGAATTTACACACAGCACACACAGCACACACACACACACACACACACACACACACACACACACACACACACACACACACACACACACACACACACGACTGCACAGACACACTGCAACGCACTTGCTCCGTGTTGGCGAGATGGTGCGTTCCCGTTGCGGTTCACGTTGCCGCTCTTGGTTGTGCACGGCAGCGAGAGCGGTGGCAGTGCAGTTGAATGCTGCTGCTGCTGCTTGTTGTGGTGGTGGGGCGCTGGGATGGAGAAGAGTGAGCGGTCGAGTGCATGCGGGGCAATATTCTGTCCAGCAGCACCACTGGCCTGTGATGAGGCAGCATGGCGTGGTCGACCGTTGTTGCCACTGCTACTGCTCGTTGTCACCTGCTGATCATTGTGGGCGCTGGTCTGCTGCATCCCTTCAACCAACCAAGGAGGTGGCACAAGCAGCCTCCGTTGCCCCTGCTGCTGCTGCTGCTGCTGCTGTTGTTGTTGTTGCGCGTGTGGCTGCATACCCATGGCAGCGCCGTGTACACGACCCACACTGCACACGCGCAGCCCTTGTTGTTGTTGTTGTTGTTGTTGTTGTTGTTGTTGTTGTTGTTGTTGTTGTTGTCGAAGGTCGTTGACGGTGACGGGCGAGAGGGCGGCTGCGTCGCCGCTGCCGTGCAGGGCCAGCTCGTCGCTGAAGTTTGGCGACTGCGCGTTGAACATGTCTGCAAACATGTCTGTGGACGTCGTGGCTGCAGAGTCGAGAGGAATCGTGATGGTGCTCATGTGTGCCGGCTCAAGCATGTCCTCCGCCGTTTCCCCCGCGTGCACCGGGTACATTTGCGTGTGTGGTCGGTGGTGCGGGTGGAGATGTTCGGAGTGCAGGTGCAGATGCAGGTCAGAAGGCAGCGGTTCATCCTCAAATGCACGGTGAGCGGCGTCATGCATCAGCGAGATGCTGCCGTCACCACCACCACCATCATTGACTGCAACAAAGCTGTCGTGGTGGCCAATGGAGGTTGATGTGGTTAGTGTGGTGGTGGTGGTGAGCCGGTCGCTGTGCAGTGACGAAGACCGGGGTGAACTGCCGCTGCTGTTGTCGTTTGACGAGTGGCCGTGGCTCACGTCGTGCTGTTGCTGCTGGTATTGTGGATGGTAGGGGTGGTAGTGTGGATGATGTGTGTCGCTGGTGCTGGGTAGGGCGGTGGCGTGTGTGCGGGGCTGGTTGAGACGACGCTGCACGGCATCTGAGGCCAGCACCTCCACAGCGTCAACGCCGCCCCCGCGCAGCAGCTGTTGTCGCTGTTGTTGTTGATGGTGCGGATGTTGATGGTGTTGGTGGTGTTGGCGTGGCGGGGATGGTGTGTATGCGACTGAGCTGTGGGAGAAGGAGGGATGTAGGTGTCCACCCATAACCATCTCGTCCACCCCGCGTAGGCGCACAGCTGGTGGTGGCGGTGGCGGCACGATGGATGGCAAGGGAAGGGACGTCTCATGCATGGCACTGCTGCTGCTGCTGCTTGTGGTGTAAACGGTGGCATTGGTGGTGTTGCTGTTGTGGTGCTTGCTGTGACTGCCCCTGTTGTTGTTGCCGCTGCTGTTGTTGCCGCTGCTGTTGTTGCGTCGTTCATCCTCCCACCCTCGACCACCGCCAGCGTCATCACCACCACCTCGATCAAAACCACCATCACCACCGCCACTTCCACGGCTGCCGGTGTTGAAGGTGCCGCCGAGGAGAATGACAGCAACGACAAACGCAACGCCGCCAACGACGCAGCCGACAACGATGACGACAAGCTGTGCGGTGCCGACATCGTGCACTCTCTTGGACGGCGGTGCTGGCGTGGATGAGCAGTCCCCACGGGCACCGCAGTCCCCGCCAGACTTGGCAATCAAGGGGCGCGCAACCACAAGCGTGTCGCTGTCAGCGGCAAGGGGCAGGTGGATGGCAATGCCCGGGTCCTCTGCCACGTCAAAGAGGTGTTGCAGGGTCGAGGTGTTGGTGATGCTGAGCTCAACCTTGACCCCAACGGCCTCCATCTCGCCAACGTAGCTGGCGATGACCTGCTGCGAAACGGAAGAAGCGGGGACGGCGGCAGCATCCAGGACGGCAGTCACCAGTGCATCGCGCGCGCTGTCGGATGCCACAATGGCGGCGTGGTCGGGGGTCGGAAACCAGCAGGCAAACGAGTGCATGTCCAAGTTGCCCCACGGGGACATGCTCATGTCGGCATCGTCATCACTGAGTGCGGTATCTGCGGTGGTAGTAGTCGTGGCCGCAGCAGCCACGGTGGCAGCAGCACCACCACTAGCAGCAGCTGTCGAGCCCAAGGCGATGAGGGGGCAGAAGGCGCCGATCAGCACAGCCAAGAGGACGACGCTCACGCATGTGGAGCGTGCTGCCCCAACTGTGCGGCGTTGCCTCTGCTGCCGCATATTGTCGTTGTTTGTCGTTGTTGTTTGTTGTTGTTGTTGTTGTTGTTGCTGTTGTTGTTGGCGGCGATGATGAGTGCATGCACGGAAGCTGTCAAGGGGCTGTTGATCGCCCAGATGTGCAGCACACCAGAGAAGAGCAGGTGTGCAGTACAGCACAGGGGGTGCACAGACACAGCAAACACGACAACCCTCAAAAACCAGACGTCACAGGGAGAGGGAGAGAACGCAGATGCGGATGCGTCGGTTTGATGTGACAGAGGAGGAGGACGAAGAAGAGAAACGCACGGCACGAATATGTCACGGGCGTTCAAGCGAGCGTGTGTGTGGAGAAATGAAAACTCTTCGCCAACAAGGTTTGTTGTCTTGGCACAAGGGTTCGTGCACCCCTCTCCTTGGGACAAACATGACGAGGAGTGCGTTGTGTGCTTGTGCTGTGGGTGATGTGTTGTGTGTGCTGCTTGTTGGGTTGATGATGTTGGTCCGTTCAACTATGTATCAACTTGGCTGGCTGGTGTGAGTTTGTGTTGTGGCGGCAGGCAGTTGACGAATGTTATTTTAAAATACGACAAATAATCGACGGAGGACAGCAAGCAATATGGAACGAACCAAAACACATGCAAAACTGAGTGCACTGTTGCTTGACGTGTGCATGTCATCATCATCATGATGGCGCAGCCAACAAGGCGACGACTTCTGGGAACTTGGCTTGCACGGCCAAGTCGTGCGCTGTCTTGCCTATGCATATGCGCGCGTGCATGTATGAAGGGGCATGTGTGTGTTTGTGTGTGTGTGTGTGTGCGTGTGTGTGTGTGTGTGTATGGGAATGAGTATGCACGGACGCAACATACGGAGGCGTGCGCTGCTGCGGCACGTCGCGAGTGATGCAAGCAAGCACGCAAGCAAGCAAGCAAGCACGCAAGCAAACAGGCTTCATGCAGCCAACATGCCAAGCAGGGAACACACAACACAAGCGCACACAGACGTACACACAGACGTGCACACACACACACACAGACGTACACAGACGTGCACACACACACACACACACACACAGACGTACACACATACGTGCACACACACACACACACACAGTCGTACACACAGACGTGCACACACACACACACACACACACAAACACACAGGCACACACCGGAGCTGTTCTTGATGGTGGTATCTGCTCCCAGGTCGAGGAGGGCACGGCACACCTCCGCATGCCCGTGCCACGCCGCCCGCTGGAGAGGCGTGTTTCCATAATGTGTTTGTGCATTCACATCAGCGCCCTGTGTGCACGCATGACCATGTGCGGGTGTGTTGCCGTGAGTGTTTGTAAGATGACATGCATTGAACAACCGCAAGCGCCAAACCAACCAAAGCAATCGCAAGACGATGGTCCTCATATCACACACAAACACACACACACACACACACACACACACACACACACACACACACACACACACACACACACACCGCCTGAACCAGCAACTCCACGCAATCCTGTAAGACATCAATACAGGGGTATGGAACGTCAGTCAACATCTTTACAGCAGCAGCAAAAGGGAGAGCGGGATGGCGTCACACAGCACACACACTCTCTCTTGCTCGCCTTGAAGTTAGCCTCTGCGGCCCTGTGTAGCGGTGTTGCGCCGTTAATGTCTTGCATATCCACACTCGCACCTAACGACAGCAGTGTCTGCAGGGCACAGCACGATTCATGAGCGATGAGGTTGGGCTGAGCAGGTGAAGGGGCACAGAGGTTCGCAGACGGATAACCGTGACGGCTGGGCTTGCACTGCGCGACGACACAACCACCACGTGCATGTGCCTTCTCTCTCTGTCTCTCTGTCTCTCTGTCTCTCTCTCCCTCACTCTCTCTCACACACACTCCCTCTCCCTCTCTCTTTCAGACACACACACACACACACTCACTCACTCTCGTTCATACACACACACATACACACACACACTCACTGACACTCACTCACTCTCGTTCATACACACACACACACATGTGCACACACACACACCTGCATGAGTTGGGTGCTGCCGTGGGTGGCGGCAATATGTAGCGGCGTCTCCTTGTTGTCGTTGATGGCGTTAACGTCCAGTTGCCTCATTGTCGGCACATGCCGTTGTTTTTGTTGTGCTGGGGTACTTGCTGTGATGAGGGTGTTAGTCTTGGGCACGTCGTCGAGCTGTGCCGCGACGTGCAGGGGCGTGTTTCCGTACTTGTCGCGCACGTTGACGTCAGCGCCTCGCTCCAGCAACACCCCCATAGTCGCCGTGGACAAGGACGCTTCCATGGCGACCTAAGAGTACGGTTGCGTGTGGGTGTGTGTGTTCGCGCGACGGGAGGGAGGCAAGAGAAAAAGGCACCGTACGTAACACATGCAGCGAGAGAGATAGAGATACATAGAGAGAGGAAGCAGACAGACGCGAGGAGGCGGTGAGAACAATGACAACAAGCCACCATCGCACGCACACACACATACACACACACACACATACACACACGCACTCTCACACGCACACACGCACATGCAGACACTCTCTGCTGCACTCACGTGGAGCGGAGGCTTTAGGAGAAACTCGTGGCAGTTGATCTCGGCGCCCTCATCCAACAAGTGGTTGATCTGAGGCCGGGAAGAAGGAGCAGCAAACGGAGGAGCCATCAGCAAGCAAGCAAGCAAGTGATGTTGGAGTGCAAGGGGTCAGCAGAAGCTGTAACGGCAGTAACGGCAGTGACAGTGATGCCTGCACAGACACAGGGCAGTGGTGTGATCACCGTGGCGACAGCGGCGCGCTGCTGCACTGCCTCCACGAGCCGTTCATTCAATGCCACCTGCACAATGTATGTTTATGCAGGGTTCGGGTGGAGCTTAATGAGATGGTCGTTGGTGCTTGTGATGCAGACGAACAGAGTAAGCGAGTGCGAGAGTGAGCATGCGAGTGCGATCAGTGAGCATGAGTGAGTGAGTGAGTGAGCATGAGTGCGAGAGTGAGCATGCGAGTGCGAGAGTGAGCATGAGAGTGCGAGAGTGAGCATGAGAGTGTGAGTGAGCATGAGAGTGTAAGTGAGCGTGTGAATGTCACACACACACACACACACACACACACACACACACACACACACACACACACACACACACACGCACACACACACACACACGCACACACAACCTGTCCCCATGTCCGCTGTTGTTGTTGTTGCAGCGCTTCATCTCTGCCTGTCGTGTTGTCGTCACTCATACTGTACTGATCTCAGTTTACGAGTTATTTGTGCTGTCGGTATCTGTCTACCTGTCATTTCTGACGTGCATGCATGCACGTTCTATTTTCTCGGCTTGGTTGGGTGGCGTTGCTGCCGGGACAACGGACTTGTCTTGGCCATGCACGGCGTATGTTATTGACCGAAGCACATTTTCGGGGCTCCAACCAAACTTCGCAATTCTTCGCTACCCCCAACCTTGCCGCCAAAACCTTTGCCCTGATGTTGTCCAAGTTGTGCATGCATGCATGCATGACAACAGCGGCGCAGCGTGCCTTTTGTTTTTCCGGCTCACTCACTTCCCTTCTCTCGCACAAACGCTCCTGTGGGCGACCCACAACACACAAGTAATCAAGCAAAGCAAAGGTGACTTGGCTGGCATGTACGAAATTCGCCTTGATCCGCTTCGCTTAAGTGTCCTTGATCCGCCTTGCTTCGCGTGCTTTGCTTGTTGCGTGTGCGTTCCGTCCCAGTTGTCAAAATCTTTTTTTTTATTGTTTGCTTTGTGTGTGTGTGCGTGTGTGTGTGTTTTGCTCCGTCCAAGCACTCACGCTGCAAAGAAGTGAAGCAAGACGTCTGCCAACCACCAGTTGACGCACGCACGCACGCACTTCTTGTCGTCCATCCATGCGGAGTATTCCTTGGTTCCTTGTTGATGTTCTTTTCGAGACCCGACCACCCCCACGAACCGCCCCACACATACACAAAGCCTACGCACACATCCATCACAGGAGCTCACTTTGCACCCACGTTCATCACACCCACGTTCATCACACAAAGGTTGCACACTTTGCGCACGAATTACTTGCTCACTTCGTCCAAGCCAGACGCGCCACGACACACACACACACGCACGCACGCGCACACAAACAAACAACCGTCCACAACCTACGGGCGTCCCTTCTGCATCAAGCCCCTCCACTATCCTCCTCCCTCGTTTTGCGGGTTTCGACTCATTCCGCGTTCGGCACGACCAGCCGTTGTTGTTGTTGTTGTTGGTGCTGCTGCTTTGCACCAAGGCACACAAGTGCGCACACAACCGCATCCGCGCACGCATCCTTAAGCAAGCAAGCAAGACACAAGACACAGCAATACACGCAACAACAACACGCGAGTTGTGTTGCTTGTCCAACACGGTCCCACCCATATCAAGTCGCTCACTTCATACGCGAAACACTCGCCCCACTTCGCTTCCACCCTCCCCCCATCCAGCCATCGCCAAGGCCCTCCATCCACCACAACCTGCACCTGCACCTCCTCGTCCTCGATTCCTGTCCGTCTGCGGCTGGTAAGTCCTGCCTGTTTTCCCCTGTCTTGTTTGTTTTGCACGAATGGCCCGTTGGGTTTTGTGTGTGTTCGTGAGTGTGTGTTTGAGGGAGTGAGGATGACCATGGCTGGCGATGGGAGATGGGGGATGGCAGTGTGGGTCATGCCACAACGTATCATGCCAGGCTGAAAGTCACGAGATGGCGGGAGCACTTGCGCATGAGCAGGACATTGATTGGCTCACACTCACACATACAACATCTTGCCTGACGTGTGGGGCATGCGCAAATGGGTTGGTGCGTGTTGTTTGATGTGTTGTGTGTGGTCTCCATTGCAATGTTACATGACGGGACAGAGTCCAGCAGCGTCAGCAGATTGGTGCTTGAGATTGATCACACACAGGCTGCCTGTCCGCCCCAACCTTCGAGTGCTTCCACTGCGCCACCTCGTGAGTGAAAGCGCGCGCGCGCGTGTGTGTGAGTACGTTTGCGTTGTGTGTCAGCTTGAGTGTGTGTCAGAGTATGTGTGTGTGTTCGTGTGTCTGAGTATGTGTGCCTGATTGTGTATCCGTTTGAGTGTGGTTGTGTGTCTGTTTCTGGTGCGATGTGAGTCAGTGGTGCGTGTGCGTGTCACAGTGCATCAATGGTTGTTTTTCTTCCCGCGCCCACCCATGCATGTCAACTTGACGCAACCCAGGAGGAGGAGCAATGGGAGATACGCACGTCATGAGCGACATGAACCAACTCCAATGTGCGTGCAGTCACCATTGCCAGATCGCCAATGCTTTGCGCGTCGCTGCTTGTTTTGTTTGTCCATCATTACTGTGTCATGTACACATCTGCATGTGCACATGCACTTGTTTTCCTGTGCAGTCGTCCTCACGCCACCACCCTTGTTGTTCTTGTTGTCCACGGCCTTTGGCAGCAGCGTTGTACGCAAGCATGCTGCGCGGACAACAGCAGCCCCAGCAGCAGCAGCAACACCCCTTTATGGTGCGTTTGCGCCTTTGTGCCTTTTGTGTTCGCGCGCGCGCGCGCGCGTGTGTGTGTGTGTGTGTTCGTGTGTGTGTGTGTGTGTGTGTGTGTGTTCGTGTTTGTTCTTTTTTTGTGTGCGTGTGTGTGCGTGCATCGCCCTCCCTTCCTCCCCCCCCCCCAATTTATCTTTCTGTGCATCTGTGTGCGCTCTTCTCAATGGCTTGCGATCAAATTCCTTGCTGCCACTCACCCATTCACCTCCCTGCTTTTGTACCCACGCGCACAGAATGGCTCGCCCGGCCAGCCACAGTACGAGCAAGCCGCATCCTCGCAGCCACAGCAGCAGCAGCAGCAACTCCGCCAACAGCAGGTGCAGCAGGACCAACAGCAGCAGCAGGATCCTATGCGCGCCATCAACCAACAGATACTGGCTCAGATGCTCGTCATGCAACAGCAGCAACAACAGCAGCAGCAGCAACAACAGCAACAACAGCAACAGCAACAGCTTGATCAGCAACAGCTCTTTGATCTCCAACAGCAGCTACAGCAGCAGCAGCAGCAGCAGCAGCAGCAGCAGCAGCAGCAAGAGGAAGATGCTCAGTTCCAGCAACACGGCGTCATGCTTCCCCAATTCCCTCATGACTCCTGCAGCACAGGGCAAGCACCTCAAATGCAGCAGCAACAACTCGCCCAGGACCAACAACAGCAACCATCGCCACAACAACAGGCGCAGCCGCAACAGCAGCCGCAGCCGCCGCAGCAACCGCAGCAGCAGCAACAGCCGTATTTCACACCCGCCCAGCAGCAGCTGCTCCAGCAACTCGCCCCAGCCTTGCAGCAGCAACAGCAACGACAGCAGCAGCAGCAGCAGCACGCCACTGCATTTCACGGGCCCCCGCAGTCTCTCGTGCAGGTGCGATGTGTGTGTGTGTGTGTGTGTGTGTGTGTTGTGTTTGCTTTGTGTGTGTGTGTGTGTGTTGTGTTTGCTTTGTTCGCGTGGATGTGTGTGTGCGTGTGTGCGTGTCGTCCCTGCCATGTTGTTTTCCCCTTTTGCTTTGTCTGGCCTTCCTGCATGCATGTACGCTCGTTTGCTTGAGTGGGTGCCGATCTCACTGTGGTGTGCTTTGGCCTGTGTGGTAGATGGATGCACTTCACAGTGGAGGGGAGCAGCAAGCCATGCCGACAGACCGTGAGTACGCGTGGATACTACTTGCAGGGTCCAAATGAACACATTTGCAGCGAACCGTGCGTGCGACGCAATTTGCTTGCAAGCATCCTACCATGATTTTTCACACCTCTTGGCCGCTTGCCTGCATGCACACACACACACACACACACATGCAGTGATGCAAATTGCACAGCAACAGGCCAGCCTCCTGCACGCCATGGGCTTTCCGCAAACCGTTCAGCTCAACGCGCTCAACTCCTACCTCCCTCAACCATCGGTTCGTTCACGGTTATATTGCGCGCGTGTGCGCGTGCGTGTGCGCGTGCGTGTGCGCGTGCGTGCGTGTGCAGTTGTGACGAACAGGGCACTCAGGTCTCGATTCCGATCCCTCTCCTAACGCAACAGTACACACACACACACACACACACACACACACACACACACACACACACACACACACACACACACACACACACACACACACACACACACACACACACACACCTACACACACCTACACAACCCATCAATCGACTGCACCAGGACCACGAAGCGTGCTGCGAACAAGAGCAAGAACGCCAACTCGTCCTCCTCCTCATCTGCCAATGGCCTCAGCAACGGCAACGGCTCAACCGGTCGCTCTCTCATCTGCTGTGATGCCTGCTCCAAACGCTTCCTCGGCAACCAGGTGTGTGTCAAAGTGCGTGTGTGTGTGTGCATGTATATGCGTGTGTGTGTGTGTGTGTGTGTCTGTCACAGTACATGTGTACATGTGTGTGTATGTGTGCGTGAGCGTGTGTGTGTGTGTGTGTGTGTGTGTGTGTGTGTGTGTGTGTGTGTGTGTGTGTGTGTGTGTTTGCCCAACTTACCCCCTCCCCATTTCTTCTTGTTCTTCTCATGCACATCAACTCACAATGCCAATGCATACACCATCCCCCTTCACACCCTTGATCCACCATCCACCATCCACCATCACCAGCGGCTGGTGTGGCATCGGCTGATGAAGCCGGCTGACATCCCAACACCGCACTGCGACATATGCGGGGGTCCGTTCGATGCAACCGAGGCTGAAGAGTTTGACCGCATGCGTCGTGCACAGCGGCAGGCAAAGGGCCAGCCACCACCGAAGCCCTTTGAATGCAAGCTGTGCGATGCCTCCTTCACCAGGTGCGTTGTAGTGTTGTGTGCGTCGCTTTGTGTTGCTGTGCGAACGCGAGTTGTTGTGCAAACGTGTGCATGTGTGCATGCGCAAGTGTCGCCCGTCCCCCAATGTTCGAGTATCTGGCCGCCTCATGCTATCCACAATGCGTTCCCTTCTCGCACCGCCCATTCCCGCTCTCAACGCCCTCACATGATGAGACATTGCTGATTGCTGCTGCTGCTGATGCTACTGATGACGATGATGACTAGGGGTGACCGTCTTCTTGCACATTCGCGTTTGCACACGGGCGAAAAGCCATTTGTGTGTGACCTCTGCCCTCGCTCCTTCTCACGCAAGGACAGGCTGAAGGTGTGTCTCTTGTGTGCGTGTGTGTGCGTGTGTGTGTGTGTGTGTGCGTCTTGGGTGTCTTGGGTGTCTTGGGTGTCTCCCTATCTGCCTGCCATTTCCGTCTCCTTCTCTGCCGTTTCCCAACTGTCCTCGTTGCTGGCGAATACCTCCAGTCGTCCACCCACACTCGATTTTTCAATCTTCTCACACCGTCTCCACCGCCCCCCCCCCCTCTCTCTTGTGCACTTGATTCGGGTTTTGCTTGCAGGCACACCGCCGCACACACTTTGGTGAACCAAAGCAGCCTCGAAAGAAGGATGCACCAGGTACAAGTGAACACACGCCATTTGAGTTTTGTGTTTTACACGCGCCTGCCTTTGTATGCATGGTGTCGATGTGACGATGCTCTGGCGCAATCTAATGTATGCATGTGTGTGTTGGCACTTGTGTATGTGTTCATGTGCGAATTCTGTTGCTTGCAGGCAAACGCAAGCGCAAGCCCGACCGTCGTCGATCGAGCGCCGCAAACCTGATCGCCACAGCAGTGCGTACCAACTTTTGCGTGCGTGCGTGCGTGTGTGTGTGCGTGCGTGCGTGCGTGCGTGCGTGTGTGTGTGTGTGTGTGTGTGTGTGTGTGTGTGTGTGTGTGTGTGTGTATGTGTGTGTGTGTGTGTGTGCCCCTTGTTTACAGCTAGGCGTCATGCAGTCATGCTTACCGCCTCCTTTTCTCTCCTCCTTCTCCCGCCCTTCCCTATTCACCTGCTCATGAAAACACGTTTCTCCCGTCCAAAAATCATGGCCCTCCCCTACCCCCCCCTGCTTCATTCCCTTGTGCAGAACAACGAGACCGCCTCTGCTGCTGCTGTGCTGCCACATTCCTCGTCCGTGGCCGCGAGCACCACCGTCGCTACCGCTGGTGCCATGGCCAGTGTCTCCCGTACCAGTACCAACACACACGCAAACCCCTTCCCCTTGGCCTTCCCTAGCGCTATCACAACAACGGTGCGTGTATGAGAGAGAGAGAAAGAGAGAGAGAGAGAGAGAGAGAGAGAGAGAGAGAGAGAGTGTGTGTGTGTGTGTGTGTGTGTGTGTGTGTGTGTGTGATGTGTGTGTGTGTGTGTGATGTGCGTGTGTGCGTGGGGGGGGGGATACGGGTTGTATTTACGTTGTCGTCGTTTGGGATCACCCGCCAAGTTTTGTCTGTTGCTTTTCCTCTCGTCCCTGCATCTCACATGCCTCTGCTCTTGTGTCTCGCTGCACACATTCTTTTCAACAAACAGCAACACCAGCTCCAAGCGCAGCAGCCCACACAGCAGCAACAGCAACAGCAGGGC